AACGGTGCAGCTGGAGCGCTGTGCCCGCAATGACGTCACACATAATTTGGCGGGACTTGAAGAATCCCCGAGAAGATCCAGAAAATGGTCAACATTGAAGGGCAGATTAATGGTTATCAAAGTACAAATATCCAAAATAATTGTTTTCAAGGGGACAATATTTACTCAAATTGATGGGTTTGGATGATGGGGGAAACTCGTGTCACAGGCTCTTTAAGGAATCAGACATTTACCATGACATTACAATCACTCAAGACATGATGTTCAAGACCCACCAATGTACATTTGATCTGGGATTTAACTCTGTATTTTATTTGAGGATTGACTGGTGCACAAAGGAGTGCTTGAGTTGTCAACAAAATCACTATTGTTAATTTAATAATGAATATACATTTGGATGGTGTGCAATTTATTTTTGAGAAGAAGAAAAACAAGCTGACAAACCCACAGACCTGACACATCCTTATAAACATATAATGCCTATTACACATCTAGCCGACACAGAGCAACATTAGAATTGATTTGGTTTCATGTTTATGGCCAGCTACTAATGACTTTGTTAGCGATTGCGTTTTGCCTCTAAAATTCTCTTTTCCTCACCCTGCTGTGGCACTATCTTCAGTAATTAACATCACAGAGGTGTCCATTTCTAAACAAGTTCATTTTCTTTCACCCCCAGTAAAATACCAACCATCAATCTGTCAGCTATAATTACAGGAATCTTTGCATCTTCACTGGGGACTGCGGGCAGAAAAGGCACTAGACTGGAGTTGTTAGTGGGCAACAGGGTTTGGGTGTTAATTAGAATATCTGTGTTTGGCATTTGATGCCAGGGATTTTAGGTGGTTGATTATCAGTTCTATTTCCAGGGTTTTGAACGGCCATGTATAGAAATCAATGATTGTGTGTATTTCTGGAGGATTCACAACCTGATTTTCAAATACGATTTCCTGAAACCATCAAGCCATTGATTTGACACGAGGTGGGGCTACAGGGAGGGATTAAAGTCCAACAGTAGAGCTTTTGTTACAAGAAGCCCTTTCATATGCCATGCTAACTCATGGCAGGCACTCCTACTCAGGTCTACTGGCCTCCATTAACTTTTACTCAGCCTGAACATCCAACATGGCTAATGGCAGCACCCATCTCTGTACAGCCCCCAGAAGGCCCTATATCACAGACAGAAGGCCCAGATGTAGTCTGGCTGTTGGAAGCACTGCGATGACTGCAGGTCAGCACCACCAAGACGCTCATAGCTGTGATGGATGTCCAGCCTCCTTGGGTTTCCACTTTTCATGTGTCTCAGCCTCTTTACTCTTTGCTCTGAATCACTGTTCAGGCTCCAAATTGGTGTTTCTTTAATTTCATGGAAATATGACTATATTTACAGAGGCAGGAAATGAGAAGCCAGTGCATATCAGAGGTTGCGCTAGACTTTTTCGCTTCCCGTCATTTTGACGGACAGGATCGTAACATTTCCCACAAAATCCAGAATTACCGGTCGGCCTTTACACAACTCTGACGAGGGGGGGGGAGAGCGCGCACAGCGTAAAGCCAAGGTTTGGAAACGGTATCATTTCCTTTTTGGAGGGAATGCATAACACGGCATAACACCGGAGCCTCGCTGCGGAGAAACTTTGGCGCTGTTCCGAGTTTGTTCTAATCTGTCAAAATGAAGGACTGCTTTCAGATTTTTCCGTCATTGTTAAAAAGAATCCCTCATAGACGGAAAATATTCGGTTAACGCGACCTCTGGTACATATGACCTTTTTTTTGTAGTGTTGTACCAGGCGGTTGTTGAAATAGTTGGAAAAAGATAGTAAACCATTACCAATCATTTGTATCATAAGCTTAATAACAACAATTCATGGCGGTTTGTTGGCATAGTTTTGTGATATCTTTTAGAAACTATATATGTGTATCCCCTTGGAAGCCTTGTAAATAGTTCATTGTTTTATCATTTGTAAATAAGATGAGGAGACTTTGATAAATGTTTATATTCGGGGGTAAAGTACTATCATTTACATCTAAATGATGGATTAGCCTCCAGGGACCATTGCTAAAACACACTGGATGCATGGCTAAAGAACAAAACAAAACGTGAGCGCAAATATATACAAATATTTGTGTCCTTTCTTTTTATTATTTTCTTTTTAATTAGAGTGACATTTATTCCCCAAAGTGTAGAAAAAAACTGTGACATTGAAACGGAGCAGCAGCAGGAGGAATTCTGATGAGTTGCAGAGTAATTACATCGAGGTAACTAAAAGGGACTAGGATTCCATGCTAGGTGTCATCCAAAGACACCGGTGTAAGGATCTGCGATCAGGTTGAAGCTCTGGGAGGTCAGTGTTGTGCAGATGCTGAGTGACGACAGTGGATAGCGGGTCATTTCAATAAAAATGTAAAACTGTCTGCAAGCCCCGAACAAGAGCTGTTTATTAGAGGCTGGCACTTCAAGGCAAGCACATGGACACAGTTTGTTTGCGGGGTCTTAAATATTGTATTTAAGAAAGTAATAAATATTGATAAATCCATTTAGCGAAAATTAGGGATGGGTATCATTAGGATTTTATCGATACCGGTACCGGTACTGCTTATCGGTATCGGTATTTTTCAATACTTTTCAATAATTTGGTGTTAATAAACTAAAAAAAGACAAGGCGATGTGCCTGCAAGACTGCACCCAGGTAAAGAAAAGATATTACCCGTGCGCAGCAGCTATCCTGCCTGCGAGCCTTCGCTCAGGTCACCTTTACACTCGGCGCGGCTGAAGCCCGCTAGCACTATTAGCACTATTAGCACTAGCAGTATCGCTAGCACCGTTTAAGATTCAATGAGTGTCTCGTTTGCAAATGCTTCATTAAGTTGCTTGTGTTACCCCCTTTACAAGCAACTAATTGAGTACATAGATTGCACCTTGCACTATCGCCACTACATTTTTTAAAAGTGCATCCAGACCTTCGATTGCTTCGCTCTGTCCGCCATGCCTGCGGGAGTCTCACAACAATAATAAGAGCGCTGTTGAGAGAGATGAGGAGTGGCATTTACAGTGGCCAATCAGAGGGGTCTCAAACCGGATACATCACACGGGATGAGGGTTCCCAACCAACCAGAATGGTTTAAAGTTAAACTAAGGAAGTAGACGTAACAGATATACCGATAGCAGCACCGTTTGTACAGCGGCTTAACTGTATACCGATACCGTCCAATCAGGTACCGGTATTGACATAGTACCGGTTCTCGGTACCCATCCCTAGCGAAAATTAAGGCTGTTAAAAAGTATTAAACGGTATTACATTTTGTAGCTTGTTTTCAATAAGTATATCAATTGTCCAAAGAGGTTGTATTCTACTGTCTGCCTGAATGTAATCATTGCGTAGGTGTGTAGTGTGATTCTGTGTAGTTTATTTATGGCATCCCGTTGGATTTGACGTCATCTGAACAGGAAATCGCACGCTCACTGCTTGATAGCGCGCAAAGGTCAGTTTACGCCGGTTGTTAAACAACATGGTTATGGGGAAATGCAAGTCTGCGTCCAAATGGTTGGAAGATAAGGAGGGAGGACAATCAATACTGTATATAGTAAATGTGTAACCGGTTAAAACTCAAAGTGGCGATGAGGTCTTAAAATGTATGGAAAGGGTTTTTAAAAAAGGTCTTAAAAGGTCTTACATTTCACTAAAGGATTCCTGCATATACCCTGCCTGATGTATTATTTATTACATTACAGAAAACTTTACTCTAATAATAAACAAAGAACTCGTATAAGGAGAATAAAAAAATAATAATACACAGGTCTACTTTAAAATAAATAAAACATATAGCTGCACCATAAAAAGAGTTAACTGATTGAACATCGTTAGCTGTCTTCCTCTTCTGTGTTTTTCCTCCAATACGTAAAGGCTGCAGCACCTTTGACAACTTCTCTACCGGTAAGCCAGCATCGGTTGCTGTGAAAGCATATAAATCTAACAACCAGAATTAAATCCTGTGTTCCTCCGATATTTTTCTTTTCTTTGAAAAAGAAAGGCTCATCGAGCCCGGGGTCAGGTTATTCGCCTGCAAGAAAAGGCGTTGGCGCGGGACCGCAGCAGGATATGAGGTATATTTTAGTTGACCTAATTAAAACAGTTAATTTTTTTATTTATGTGTCACAGTATCACCTCAAAATACGAAACATAAGAAACATTTTCAACCGTGCAACAACATATAAATAGCCCTACAAATATTTGTATTTTATTTCCTTCTTATTTTTGTCTAAGTTCAATGGAGCCAGAGCAGAGGGCTTAAAAAGCCGCAGGTTGCAGACCCCTGGTCTATGTGATAGAGAACTGTAGCGGATACGACCGTTACCGTTCTCGTGTGGCTGCAGCCTCAGACCAGCCCGTCTGGCACCAACAACCATGCCATGTTCAAAGTCACTTAAATCTCCTTTCTTCCCCGTTCTGATGCTCTGTTCACCAGGTCGTCTTGACCAGATTAGATATTTGCATTGACAAGCAGTTGAACAGGTGTACCTAATAAAGTGACCAGGGAGTTTGTGTATATATATACATATATGTATTTATTTATAGCTCTCTCTAGCTCTCTGTTTCTGTCTCTAGCTATTCAATATTTGTTTAAAGTAGACATGTTATTGTAGTATGAGAGCTGGCCACCGGTGGCAGCACTGATCTTTATTGCTATAGATGAGTCAGTCTTTTTTGTTGCTTTGAATTCACTAAAAGTAATCTTTCCCCCCCTCTGTATATTTTGGGGTCAGTAAGGATATTACCTGCCCTCCGGCACATTTTAACTTTTATTATTGTTTTTGAGCTACTGTGACTAAGATGTTTGATTATGAAGGTCCTGGATCATGACAATGTTTGCTTACCAATACTATCACTGTTGTAGTGCAATAGAGATCTGTTTATTGGGAAATAAAGAAAGTCAGTTCATTTGTTGCCCTATTCTTGGAGCATCTAACACTCACACACTGTATCCTGTGGTCTCGCTGCAGTCCTGGATATGGCTCGTCATGTGCCTCTCTATCGGGCGCTGCTGGAGCTGCTGAGGGCCACCTCCACCTGCACCACCCTGGTCCCTCTGCTGCTGCCTCTCTCAGGAGACCCCGGGCAGGACGAGGAGGACGAGGATGAAGAGCACTCAGAGGGACAGATCTCTGTAGGGATGCTGCTGGCCAAGATGAAGACATGCGTGGACACATACACCAATCGTCTCAGGTGAGATGGTCAAAATACACACAGCACACAGGTCTATACCTACACATACTTTTAAGTATTTTATATTTTGGGCGAAATATACTACTATGATTTAGCCATTACCCCAACTCTCCAGGCAAACAGGCTCTTCTATTATTAACCTTTTCCTCCAATTCTCTCCATGGGTATATGAATTTACCCTGAGTCATGGAGGACACAATCAGATTTAGAAACTCCGCTGCTTTTGGCAGTGGTCAGGAAAAGTGCAGAAGCGTTTTGTGTGTTCCTATAACTGCAGGAAAAGTCGTTAGTCCCACCATAAAAATTCAATTTTCTGGGGAAAAAACATTGCCTGATCTTTGCATAAAGAGCTGTATCTTAAACACATCCCTAACATAAGAGATGGGACCACATCATCTCCAGCACACAAAGCTCATGTAAGCTTGGTTTATACGTATTGAACCAAGTTTACATGCATATACTCTGCATAAATACATACCAATAGTGCCTGAGTATGAATGTCTCCATTCCTCATAAGTCAGAGAGACAGCAGAGAATGACGAAGCTGTCCTAGGGTCCATTTTACATCTCTGTATACAACTTGTATATGATTAGCTGTTTTTAGCTTCAAGTCATACGTTATCTTAGTTGTGTCAAAATAATGAAATCTGCCTCATTCAAAAGACTACTTCTATAAACAGGCTAAAGAATGGCTAGTAAATGATATATAGACAACAGGCCTTTATATTTTCAAAGATAAGGATCCAAGTAACAGGAAAAAGAACACTTCCCTAATATTTGGGATAATATAGTATATTTTCTGGTAAATCAACACAATTATGTTTTTTTTCCATTTAATTAATTAAATACCTGACAAATAATCACCATTCTGGTTTTCCCTGCATATATATCAGTGACCGATTTGATTATGTAAAATTGTATCTTCAGGTACAGTCTGTGATGTTTACCCACGGTAGCAACTGTACATATAACGAGTCAAAGAGGAGAAACATTTCTCATATCAGTGAACCTAAAAACTCACTATTATACCAAAACATGTGTATAAAATCTGTCTTTTGAAATCTTAAGGAAAAACGACCAATTATCAAACAGCAGCCAATGTGTGTGTGTGTGTGTGTGTGTGTGTGTGTGTGTGTGTGTGTGTGTGTGTGTGTGTGTGTGTGTGTGTGTGTGTGTGTGTGTGTGTGTGTGTGTGTGTGTGTGTGTGTGTGTGTGTGTGTGTGTGTGTGTGTGTGTGTGTGTGTTTTTCCAGGTCAAAGAAAGATAAGGGTAAAGGTGTGGTGAAGACGGACACCTCAGACCCGGAGCCCGAGGGTCTTACTCTGCTGGTGCCTGACATCCAGAGGACCGCTGAGATTGTGTATGCTGCCACCACTAGCCTGCGGCAGGCCAACCAAGGTACACAGAAAACACACTCATGGGGATTTAATTGATTTTCATGATTCAAAGTTAGATTTAAATCACAGTCTGCAAACACTTCAGTAACATATTTACATCCATACATTTAACCTGAGGCCAAAACAAACCCAGATGTGTTTTATGTTTGGGACTTTAAATCATTTCCCAGATCGCTCCTATCTCCATCTTTCTATTTGTGTCTCTCTTACTCATCTGTAGTCTGTGTCCTGTCCTCTGGTGCAAGGACACCAACATAATGTATCTAACCAAAATGTCTGAAGATTTAATTACATTTTTATCAAGGATGCTTTTCGGCTGTTTTTTTTGTTTTTTTTAAAAGCTCGACTTGACCAAATACTCTCAAAGGTCAAACCCACCCTAATGTGGCTCTAAGGTATACATCAGTGGAGCAACACACTCTGCTAAGCAGAGCACAAAACAGATGTACCCCCCCACACGCCCATTACAGAGGGTTAGATCTACGTTAACAGCCATCATGCTGATCACTTAGGGGAGGGGGGG